CGCAAGTGAAAAGTCTGGATTTTCATTTGAAATTTCTATTTCTTTGTCGCTTTGTTCACAAGTGAAAAGTTTAGATTTATCATTTGAAATTTTACTTTATCTGTCTTTTTTTAGTGTGTTTGTCCTATTAATGTGTCACTTTAATATAATTTTCTCTTTATAATCCTATGGTTGTTTAATTTCATCTGTTTTTATCATATCATTATTTTTATATTTATTTGGTGATATTTTCATTAATTTATTTTCTATCTTTTGTGAAGAATGAATACTCTCATGCTTAGCACCAAGCTAAAAAAATCATGATGTGTGTCTTATTGATAGTGCATCGACACATACAATTACAATCTTGAAGGATAAGAAATATTTTTCTTATCTTCAAATGCGAGAAACAAATTTTAGTACTATATCTGAAAGTACAAATTTAATTGAAGACTCAAGAAGAGCTAGTGTTTTGTTACCAGAGTCCAGAATGAACCAAATTATATATCGATGAAGCCTTATACTCTTCAAAGTCTCGAAGAAACTTATTGAGTTACAAAGATATACGCTAAAAAAGATATCATATAGAGACAAATGAAGAAAAGAATAAATATATTATGATAACAAATATGGTTTCCGGTAAGAAATACATATTGGACAAAGTGCATGTTATTTCTTCTGGATTGTACTACACGTTTCTTAGTATAATTGATTCACATGTGGTGGTAAACTAGAAGTTTACAAATCTTGATAACTTATCGTTTTGCATGACCAGTTATGCCATCCTGGATCGAGTATGAAGCGAAAAATCATTGCCAATACATGTGGACATCCATTGAAAGGTCACAAAATTTATTAGTTTAAAGATGTACCATGTGCTACATGTTCTCTTGGCAAGTTGATTATACGGCCATCACCTGTAAAAGTAAGGAGTGAATCTCTTACTTTTTTTTTGAACGTACACAAGGTGATATATGCGGGCCCATTCACACACCATGTGGACCATTTAGATATTTTATGGTTTTAGTTGATGTATCAACTAGATGGTCACATGTGTGTTTACTATAAACTCTCAACCTAGCGTTTGCTAGATTACTTGCCCAGTTGATTCGACTACGAGCGCATTTTCCTAATTTTCCAATTAAGAAAATACGTCTAGATAATGCTACTGAATTTACTTCACAAACATTCAATGGCTATTGTATGTCCATTGGGATTGTTGTTGAACATCCTGTACAAATGTTCATTCACAAAATGGCCTTGCATAATCATTTATTAAGCGTTTTCAACTGACTGCAAGACCATTGCTTATGAAAACAAGTTTGTCAATTTCTTGTTGGGGACATGCTATATTGCATGCGGCAATATTAATTCATCAGGCCAATAAGTTATCATGAAATTTCCCCCTTGCAAATGGTTTTTGGTCAGGAACCTAATATTTCCCATCAGAAAATATTTGGGTGTACCGTCTACATCCCTATTGCTCCACCACAACGAATTAAGATGGGTCCTCAAAGAAGGTTGGGAATTTATGTTGGATATGCGTCCTTGTTAATCATAAAATACTTAGAACCCTTGGCGAGAGATTTATTCATTGCTCGTTTTGCTGATTGTCATTTTGACGAATCAGTTTTCCAACATTAGGGGGTGAGAACAAACAACTAGGAAAAGATATTTGCTGGAATGAACTAACATTATCTCACCTTGATCCTCGTACTACACAATGTGAACTGGAAGACCAAAAGATAATTCATTTACAAGGTTTAGCAAACCATTTGCCGGATTCTTTTATTGACCAGAAGAGAGTGACAAAGTCACATATACCAGTTGTAAATGCTCTAGTGAAAGTTGATGTCCCCGTTGGACGATCTGAAATTGCAAATGAATCTAAACCACGAATGAAGCATGGTAGAACAGTAGGTTCCAAGGATAAAAATCCTAGATAAAGGAAAATGAGCTATGAACCAAGATGGTCAAATAGAGGATATGAAAGCTCAAGAAGAGTCCTCAAGCATAACTAAGATTGTAGTTCTCGAAGAACATCAGGTACCTGAAAGATTTGATAATGAAGAGATCTCATTCAATTATGTCTTGAATGAAAAATGTTGGAACCGAAGTGAAGTAATCGTCGACGATGTTTTTGCTTATGTTGCAACATTGAATGCGAGAATGATTGGACAAGAAAACGTAAAGCCAGTGGGATACAAATGGGTTTTTTGTGCGAAAAAGAAATGAGAAGGGTGAAGTTGTGAGATATAAAGCACGTCTTGTCGTACAATAATTTTTGACCTAGCATTGATTATAAGGAGATATACTCCCCTGTGGTGGGTGCAACTAAGTTTCAATGCTTGATCAGTTTGGCAGTTCGAGAAGGACTAGATATGCGTCTATTGGATGTTGTGACAATCTATTTGTATGGATTTCACCCGGGGTACCGTAGAACTCCCCAGGTGCTTTCTACGGTACCCCGGGTGAAATTCGTGGTACCACATACCTTGAGTATGAAAATGCTATCTAAACCTCGAATTAGCAGGATTTTTGGGCATGATACTATACCCTAACCCTTAATGAGTGAACCCTAGGTCCTAATTATCTAAATCAAAACTATAAACCCTAAGATGGTGCATTGATTTTTTTGCCTATATTTGGACGAATCATAACCGTTGATTATTGTTTCTAATTAAATTGATCTTGGGGTATAAGATTTAGAGAATTAAGACCTAGATTTTTATCTTTATGGGTTAGAGTATAGTATCATGTCCGAAAGATCAGTCAATTCAAGTTCTGGATAGCGTTTTCTTACTTAAGGTATGCAGTACCCCGGATTTCACCCGGGGTACCGTAGAACTCCCCATATATATGTATGAAAACCCGGGGTACCGTAGAACTCCCCATATATATATATATATATATATATATATATATATATATATATATATATATGTGTGTGTATGAAACTCCCTGAAGGATTCACTTTGCCATAAGCAAGCACGACACATTCTCGAGAAAAAATTTCTATCAAATTGAACAAATCCTTGTATGGATTGAAACAATCTAGATGAATGTGGTACAATAGTCTCAGTGAATATTTGATGAAAGAATGATACAAGAATGACCTTATTTGTCTATGTGTTTTCTTAAAGAGATCGGGTAGTGAATTTGTTATAATATCAGTTTGTGTTTATAACATAAATATCATTGGAACTCCCGAAGAGCTTCCAAAAGTAGCTGATTGCTTGAAGAAAGAGTTTGAAGTGAAACATTTAGGAAGAACAAAGTTCTTCCTTGGATTACAGATTGAACATTTGAAGGATGGTATATTTGTGCATCAAGAAGGATATGTTGAAAAGGTGTTGAAGCGATTTTATATGGACAATTCACACACATTGAGTCATCCAATGGTTGTAAGAAAGCTCTATTCCCCTCTCTTTTATGCCTTTCTCTCTCCATACTATATCATAGTTGTTTATCTTTCTCTTTAGTTTTTAACAAACTATAAATCGAAATTAAAAATTTTTACAATAAGGCGCGACTGTTTTTCATATTCTAAATGGTTTATAAAATAAATTCATCACTTCTTTTGTGACTCAAATTTTATTCGATGTATACAGCTAACAACATTTATAAACTAGTCACTCATCATTAGACTTCCAAACCGTTCTAGATTAACTTTATAGATGAAAAGCTCATTTTAAAGATTGCACTAACAACTTTCAAACAACATCATAACTAACTTTAGAAGCAAGTAAAGTGAAGAAGCAATTGAAATTTAGTATCCCTTTTCAAATGTGGGGGAAGAGATTTTTTTGGTCCTAGAAATTTAAAGAATGGGTTGGAAAAATAATTATATATTTTTTTTTAAAATCGAGTAGAGAATGATGAATTGGTTATCGAGTTATAGATATTTATAAATTAAAATAAATTATATATATTTACATGTAATATTATAAAAATATTTATTTTATATTCTAGTGGAGGTGTGTTAGTTACGATTTTTAGAAGTGTGTTAGTCTGTCAGAAGTCTTGGGTTCGATTATTTTAACGAAGAAATTCATATTTTTTTTTATCAAACTTTCGGATGGAGATGTGTCAATCGACTCCACTTCACCCTCACCTAGATCTGTCTCTAACAATCTATAAGTTGGTCGTGTAAGGTCTAATATTTTTGGGACAGCATTGAGTATAGGAATAATGGCGCACAAAAAATTTCTTCTATAGAAAACCATATAAATAAATTTTGATTTAAAAAATATAAAACATTAAATAAAAATTATCGATTATTACTTTTAGAAGTAATCATAAAATAATAAATGAAATTATTATCATAAATAAAATTATCGAAAATCATAAAAAAATATGTTGATGCCAAATCGCTATAGTTATACTTACAATTTTCTCCTGCCCGTTACTTTTCTCAAGTCTTCTCAACTAATATTTTCATTTCCGTCCAATTTTGTCCTTTTTCATTCCCATTTGTATTTTCTTCTTTTTCATTAAGTACCACACAAGCACGAGTATGCACGACACCATTCAAATTACGCTTGAGGCGAGCCCTTATCATGTTGGCCTAATTACAGTTCAACGCTCTAGTACAAGTACAACGGTATGATTTAATTTTCATTTTTGTTAAACCTAGTTACATATTTTCAACATTAAATCATTGGACCAAGCGAGAGTCCAGGACGAAGGAACAAACGAGTTTCAAAAGGATTTTAGTGATTTTCAAAGTAATTTTCGATTTTCAAAGGTTTACGAATCAACTTATTATTTTTAGGAAAACAATATGTAAAATATTGGGTGCTGGAAAAGGAACGGTGGAAACTGATAGCTCTGAACAATGGCGACACTATACGAAGAAAACTGAAACTACTTCCCCTGAACGTTTTTTCCCGTCGTTAAATGCTCTACAAGAAAAAGGAAACTGCTACCGACGTTGATGATATGACATTACATTCCCCTTCACAATAATAACAGCACAAAGATTTGCTCACTTCTCGTGGAAACACCCTGCCGCCGGTGCCATGTGCTCCAATTCACACCCCAAGAACTTGGACGACCACAGATGGATAATCAACATCCGGCGATCCCTCGAGGAGCAAGAACACGTGGAAGACATCGTCGGCCTAGAAGACTCCGACGATGAACTCACCGTTCGAATCTTCAACGTCCCCAAACCCCTCCTGTCCACACATCCTGACTCCTACACCCCTCAGCAAGTCGCCATTGGACCTTACCACCACCACCGCCCGGAGTTGCACGAGGCAGCTCGACACAAGCATTCCTCGGCCAGGAGGCTACAACGACAGCTGCAGCCTCCTGTCAGGTTTGCACACATTGTCGAACGGCTGATGAAACTCGGGGCCAGGATTCGAGACTGCTACCACAAGTACTTGGATTTCAGTGACGAGACCCTGGCCTGGATGATGGCCATCGACGGCTCCCTCTTGCTAGAGCTCCTTCGTGGACCACCTGAAACCCAGGAAAGGCTCACAACTGAAGATCATGATGTCCAGCATCACGGCAGATCGGTAGGATTGATGTTGACTGTTGTGAAATCGGGCCAAAACAGTGGGATGATCAGGGACGTTATGATGCTCGAGAATCAGATTCCGATGATCGTGTTACGTAAGATCCTCGAAGTTCAACACGGGACACAGGAGCTGGGAGATGAGAAGCTTAGGGCAATGTTGGTTGGTTTTTGCAGGGAGGTTTCACCTTTCAAGATGATGGATGACTTCCACGGGATTGAAGCTTCACGTTCTGCTCATTTGCTTGATTACTTGTACCAGACAATTGTGCCAAATCAGGTACATTCTGGGTCATTTAGCCCAGTTTGAAATTTTGAGGACTGATAGAAAAAATTGATCAAAACTGAAGGATATAAATTGATCAGTTCATTTTAACTTTCAACAGGTAGTAACAGAAGAAACAGCTGCTGCAGATCAAATAACGCAAGCAGATGATTCATCAACGGAATGCAACGACAACGAAAGATCAAATCAAGGTCTCCTCACATCAGTTAAGAGACTTACCTCCAAGCTAGACAAAGATCATCTCAAGAGACTTCTGCTATCGAAACCAGTAAAATTCGTTCTCAGATTGCCATTCACAATCCTCACCAATCTCCTCCCTGGTTTTGCCATCCTTAGACACCCGGTCGAGTATTTCATCTTCTCGTCACCACCCCACGACAGCAGACCAGGGCCAAGCAACTCAAACAACAACCTCTATCGACCTCCACTGCTAGAAGAAATCAACATCCCATCAGTTACAGAGCTCGTAAGCTCCGGGGTCCATATTGTCCCAACCGTGAGCAGTATCTTGAGCATTAGCTTCGACAACAAGTCATCGAAGCTGCATCTGCCGATAGTTAGCTTAGATGTTAATACAGAAGTCGTGTTGAGGAACCTGGTGGCATACGAGGCATCGAATGCATCAGTGGGCCCACTGGTTTTCACACGATACACGGAGCTGATGAATGGGATCATTGACACTGGGGAGGATGTGAAGCTGCTGAGGGAGCGGGGCGTGGTATTGAATCACTTGAAGAGTGATGATGAGGCAGCAGATTTGTGGAATGGGATGAGCAAGTCGATTAGGCTGACCAGAGTGGCTTTTCTAGATGATGTGATTGCAGAAGTGAACTTGTATTATAATGGACGATGGAAGGTGAGGATTGGGAGATTTATGGGGCAATATGTGTTTGCTTCTTGGCAGTCGCTGACACTTTTGGCTGCAGTCTTGATCTTGGTTTTGATGGCATTCCAAGTATTCTGCTCAGTTTATAACTGGTATCGTATTCTTAGCATCAGGAGGGCTACTTCGACAATTCGAAGTTAACTTGCATGTGAAGGTACTGACCATGGCTGCTGTAGCAGCATTGTAGTAGTACTACAAACAGACACGATATCAAGAAACCAGAAAACTCAAAAGCTTGCCCTGCATAGAATCTTCACTTTCAAGTAAAACACTTCTACCCACGCACAGCTTCTTTCCCCTGCGAAGAAGCATTAAGTGCAAGTTGATGTATCGCTGTAATTTCTCTGCAGTAGTAGTACTACTGAATGTGGCACCTGAAAGAACGACTGCTGAAGCTGCACTGGTTATATAGTGCCTTACAGAATCTGCATTAAATTCAAATTTACAGGCAATGACAAGCAGAGCACCAAAGAAAATACTCCACAAGAAAACAGTGCTGAAAATCACCGGAAGCACAATATTCATACAGAAAAAAGGGCGTAAAACCTGTTGTTATTCCTTGCGAAGCAACCATTGGTATATGGGGTAAAGGCTTCTTGAGGGATGCAATGTACTGGACTCCACCCAATGCAGAAACAGAATATACCTAATTCAACGGAATAAAAAGAGTAAGCATTACAGTAAGATGTTCCTTGTATAAAGCATCCAACTTATATATAGAATACATAAAAGGATCACAAACAATTGATACCCATATCAATTTCTCACCACATACAAACACATCAGAGTTTGGAGGATTAGCTCAATCGATTGGTTCACTTGAAAATCAGAGATGTAAGTGTATAATGCTCACCTTCACAATACTAGCACCAGCAGTGTATGCACACACTATCTGCAAAAGCATATGTTACAGCTACAATCCCTTATTCAAATGCGGAAACAATAGTTGAATGGAGTCTAATCGAACTAAGCTTCTTACTTCTGTTGGAGTCAATACACCAGGTATACAAAGAACTTCAGTACCTTGAACAACATTCATAACATCCTAACAAAAGCAAAGATTTTTGTCATGAAGAAAGAATTGGAAACAAACTAGGAAGGGATCTTACCCCTAAGAATGCTGCAGGGTATGCCTCAACCAAACGTTCCAAAACATATAAAGCCATTCAATGCACGAAGCACAGAGGTTGGAACTCGATAGAAACACCACACAGAAACAAGAAACTAAAATTAAGCCGGGAAAAAGTTCATACATTAAAGATAGCAGAAAAAAACCTGAAACACATGACACCTCGGGTGGACATTGAATCTTTAGCTGCAAATTGATCAAAAATAGGGAAAAAATCCCAGAATACTCTAATTATTAAAAAAAATTCTCTAAATACAGTACTTATAAAATTAATTCCCAAAGTACAGCAGTTTCAACATCACTGTCTTTGTTTAAGACAGTGATTAGGATCACCGCTTTGGTCTAAAACGATGATACATCACCGCTTTCGACAAAAGCAGTGATGCTATCACCGCTTTTGACGAAAGCAGTGATGCTATCACCGCTTTCGAGGCTGACGGTGACAGCTTGACCGTTGATGAGGGAAGCAGTGAGGGCGTTCACCGTTGGATCCAAAGGCGGTGAAGTGGCGCGGATCGCTGACGTGGACGCGCGCGGGCACTTCACCGCTGAAGACCAAAGCGGTGATAGCCTCGCTTTCCACGTCAGCGATCCGCCCCACCCGCGCCTTCACCGCTGCCGTCCGATGCAGTCATGCGCGGATTGTGGTTTTTCTCCACAATCCAACGCCTCACACGCCGCCACGTCACCTATCCGTGCCATCACCGCCTTTGTTGGACGCAGTGATATCACTGTGTTTCTTCGAGGCGGTGATTAATGCCCAAGACATTTCCCAGCCCCCAAACACTATAAATACCCATCCCCCCTCATTCCAAACCACACCACCACTTTATACTTCTTTCTCCCTCCATTACTTCACTCTAGTTTCGTTCTAAGTATGCTCTGTGGTTGCGGCTAAGTCCGATCTTCCGCATCAGAAAGAATTACTAGAGTTTTTGTTTTGTTGTTTTGTCGATACTCTCGCTAGCTTTTCGGCAAAAAATGGACGAAGAGGCTTTGATAGTACGTAAATTTATTTAATTCTTTTGTGATTTTTTTTTACATGGGTGCTAAAATTTAAATTGATTTGATTTCATATTTTTTTATAGATGGGTGCTGAGATATACGACCCTAGATTGTATATCGATCCTGGCCCAAGGGATCGAAGGTATTTAACCGGGCAAGATCAACATCGCTCTCGTTCAATTTGGAACAATAATCCGGTAGACACACTAAAATTATTTTCAATAGTTTTAAAGTTTTTATTTTGCTTTCTAAGTTTTTATTTTGCTTTCTATTGACTGACAATATTGTGTTTTTTGTTTTGTAGGAATCACTTATTCCCATCAGTCATCGAGGGACATGTCGATTGCCCCGTTGGCATCCTCGACTGCAGCCCTATCTAGAGAGGACGGGATTGCACAATCTGAGGCACTTTATGAGGCTTGATATTGACAACGATCTGCTGACGGCAATGGCAGAGCGATGGCGCCCTGAGCTGCATACCTTCCACTTTCCCGAGGGTGAAATGACGATCACCCTCAAAGATGTTGCCATCCTCACCGGGCTCCCGATCACCGGAGATGCCATCATCGACAACTCGAGAAAACCAGAAGATGGTTGGGGGCCATTGATTCAGCAACGTTTGGGGTTCAACATGCCGACCACCACGCCCGTCGAAGGGGTTGGGCATCCACCACTGAATGCGGGGCAAGTATCGATCCCGTGGCTTGTTGACCACATCCAATTGGAGGTTAATATAGGCCCGGATACTCCTGAAGATCAGGTGGAGCGGTATGCACGTGTATACCTAATTGGCTTGGTTGGTGGGTTTCTGTTCCACGACAAGTCAAATAAGTGGATACAAGGCATGTGGTTCCCTATGCTCCTTGGTGACTGGGACGAGATCGGGAAAAAAAGTTGGGGGTCGGTCGTCTTGGCTGGGATCTACCGAGAGTTGTGTACTTGCTCGAGGTTGGGAGCGAAACAAGCTGGTGGTGCGATGTTCATACTTCAGCTCTGGGCATGGGAGCATCTTCCGTTTCTCGCACCTCAAGACCCTCGGGAATTCTGGTTGCCAGATGATGAGCTACGATTTGTAGCAAATCCCCCATATGGTTTCAAGTAAGTTCAATTTAAGTTGAATTTATTTTAGATATGCAATGGTAGCTAGTTAGGTGAATTTAGATTTTAGTGAACTTAGTGAACTTAGTATGCAATTTTAAGTATGCAATTATAGTATTTTAGTGAACTTAGCTATCTTCCAACTAAGCGAATTTAGATATCTTAGCTAATTTAGATTATTGCCAAGTAAGGAATTTTATTTCAATTTAGATGCTTCCATACAATCATACTTAACAAGTAAACATCTCTGCTTTAAAAATTGCTTATATATGTACTTTTGCTTAATTAGGTGGATCGTTGCACATCGGCTTTCGAAGTGAACGCCATACCCACTTCCAAATTAGCAGTCAGATTGTACACAGGCATGGGCCGAAAGTCAGGGGCATCGTTCTGACCATATAAAAATTGATCAGGAACCTCTGTGTAGTAAGGCGTTGGTGCCTGACGGAACGCCACCTCACTGTCATCGATATCGTCCGTATCTTCCTCCTCACTGACTGATCTCAAATCTTCCTCACTTTCATCGTCACTGGAGGCGAATGGATAGCTCGGCTCAGGATGGTCATCGTTACCAGCATAACCAGCATCGTCTTCTTGGTCATGCGAAGTACGCCAGATCAAAGGGTGTTTTCAATGTCAGCCCACTCTGGACCCCAAGCAGGCCATTGATCACCGTCGGGCTGAACGATATCGACGGCAGTCTCACCATGTTGCGGGTATTCTTCCCACCCAACACCTCCTTCGGAACTACCTCCTCCGTAGTTGCTTGAAGTACCTCCCCAACCATACCCTCCTGCAGAAGTACCTCCTCCGTAGTTACTTGAACTACCACCCCAGCCATACCCTCCTGCAAAACCATCATCATAAGAATACTGGTGAGAATGAGTTTCACCGACCGGCTCGGTCTCGACATACACCTCTGCAAGCCGCACCCCGTTCTCAGATATGAACTGTATCATCATGTTCGCGTCGTCATCATCATTTATGTCAACTTTTTCGTACATGACTCCGTCAGCACTCATGTTGGGATACCGGTAAGTAATTTGACGAACTCTCCTTTGCCCGCCCGTACAAGTCCTTTCTGCACACCTGTCATGGAGTTCTTGCCACGAGAATCTCGACTCAATTGTAAGCATATTGGATTCGCCATTTTCATAGTCGATCCCAATGTTCGAGTTTGTCACCCGACCATTCCACCAAATAATAAGCCGAAACTTCTTAAATTTACCCATGTCTGCAATTTATAATAATTAAGTATAGTATATAATTAGTACATTATGGATACAAAAACAATATCATCCAAACCGATAATAAAATGCAACTAATTAATCTATTATGAGAAAACTAAACAAATTCATCTAAATTCATAACTAACTAACTAACATCTATCATATCATAATTAATCTAAATATATCATAACATATTTTCCAATAACCGCAATTCACTAAATACAGACATATAATTACTAACACGTCAACATGTAAAAAATACATACTTATTAACATACTCAATCCCGATCTATCATGAGAAAACTAAACAAATTAATCTAAATTCAGTACTAACTAACTAACATCTATCATATCATAATTAATCTAAATATATAATTCTAACATACCTAATTCTAACACATCATCAAAATGTAAACAATACATAATTATAACATACCGAATCCCGACGAGTTTCTTGAGCAGTAAACTACGGAGGAACCAGCTGCGAAAACGACTTAACAAAACGATAATTTTTGTACTGATTTGCTGTAAGGCAACAGGAGGGAAGTGGGCGTCGGTTTTTATAGGAAAATATAAAAGCTAATCACCGCTTCCGACAACGGCGGTGAACTCATCATCGCCTTAGTCAACAGCGGTGATCGCTAGGTAGCTGTTGCCTACTTCTCCACCTACCAGGGCTCTGTAAAACGTGGTAAATATCACCGTTTTGCACAACAGCGGTGAGACAATCACTGTTGTTGACTGCAGCGGGGATGCCTTCCCTGTTGATGTCAAAAGCGGTGATACGTTCCCCGCTTTTGTCAGAGGCGGTGATAGGTTCCCCGCCTTTGTCCGAGGCAGTGATACGTTCCCCGCCTTTGTTCGAGGCGGTGATACGTTCCCCGCTGCTTCACTGTTTTAGACAAAAGCGGTGATTAGTATCACTGTCTTTGTCCAAGACAGTGATGTTGAAACTGCTGTACTTTGGGAATTAGTTTTATAAGTACTGTATTTAGGGAATTTTTTTTAATAACTCGAGTATTCTGGGATTTTTTCCCAAAAATAGCACCATGAAGATAGTGTACTGTAAAAAGAGCTAAAAACCAAACTAGGCCAATAGGCAATAACCCATCAAAGAATCATCCTTAATCCTAATTTGAGGAGGATTCTGATAGCCAGAATCTTTCTGCTCATAATTATCTTACAGGAAAGATAGATTTAGTTAAGGAGAATCACAACTGAGATGCCGCCATCCATTGCAGCAGAAGCAGCTTCAAATGCAATCTCAGCAGCACTGAAGCAAACAAACCCGAGAAACATAAATTCATAACATGATCAAAGAACCAGGCAGCAAGACAAGTATTGAATCATGCTGAGGAGAAACAAGAACCCAGTTTGTGAGAAAAAAATTAATTACCTGGAGGAGAGAAGTCAAGCGATGATCCCAGAATTATAAATTGCAGATAAGGTCGTTTCTTTTGTGCTGCCAGAAGTCACATTGGAAGAAGAGAGCGGAGCGGAACAGCAGTATAGTCTTGAGAAGGGTATGGATTGTTGCGGCGACGGCGAGGACTTATAAGGAGCCGCCACCGTGACGTTGAGAAGTAGGCGCTTGCTGCAATTTAGAATGGTCATGACTTCCCTACTCTGAATCGCTATTTGCCGCCTATAATTTTATTAAAATAGTCTATTTTATCCTTCAACACTTTAGAAATCTAACTAAATTGCGTATCCCCGCCGGTATTGTTGGTCTCTTTTTAGTTCCGCAAATCTCGACGATAATTCTCCCTGGCCTTCCTTTTTCCCCCACAATTTTTGGATCTTTCGCGACGATCACTCCACTATCTTCATCTGCTTTCTCGACTCTCAATCTCGAGCACTTCTAATATGATCTAAAGTACCGATGCTTTAAAGTACCGTTTGAAGTTGTACCATAAGTAAATTTGACTAGGGATGGCAATTTACCCACCCATGGGTAATTTTGCCCAAACCCAAGTAGACCCATTTATTATGGGTAGGGTTTGGGTGATGTGTGTATGGGTTTGGGTTAGATATGGATATTATCTAAATGGGTATGGGTTGGATATGAATATCCATTTACTTGAGAGTGTTTTAACTACACATGCAAAAATTGGACCTATTTGTAAAACTTGAAAAGTTTAGGTACCAAAATGTAAGACCAAAAAAATTTAGGTACCAAAACGTAATTTTCCATTGATATTTTGAGGACTTATATGCAAAAAAAAATTAAATTTAGGTACTAAATATGCATATCTATTAAGTTTAGGTACCAAACTGTAATTTGTATTTGGGCATGGGTACAAACCCAAATCCAACCCAAAGTAAATGGGTATGGGTACAAACCCATCAAACTTTACCCATATCCATATATTTGGATTTCATACCCAACCCAATTGGGTTGGATAGTAAAATACCCATGGGTATGGGCAAAATTGCCATCCCTAAATTTGACCAAGTTATACCATAATATAAAAGTACAACTTTAGTTTGTACTATAAAAAGATTTAAAAAAAGAGGTAAATGCCACATTTGATTACTGAGATTACTAAATCGTGTCACGTTTAGTCACTAGAAAAATTTAATATCAGTTTTGGTCACTCGAATTACTGAAACATGTCACATTTAGTCACTCTCCTGTTATCCTGCGTCCAACTCTGGTCACTCGAATTACTGAAACATGTCACATTTAGTCACTCGAATTATTGAAACGTGTCACATTTAGTCACTCTCCCGTTAGTTTCAGTCCAACTCCATTAATGGAGTTGGACGGAAACTAACGGGATAGTGACTAAATGTGACATATTTCAATAATTCGAGTGACCAAAATTGATATTAAATTTTTCTAATGACTAAACATGACACAATTGATGGAGTTGGACTGAAGTAACAGGATAGTGACGAAATGTGACATGTTTCAATAATTCGAGTGACCAAAATTGATATTAAATTTTTCTAATTACTAAACATGACATAATTTAGTAATCACAGTGACCAAATATAGCATTTACCCAAAAAAAAGTATAGGTGCAACCTAAAATTGTACCATAAGTTGCATGAACTCATCCCTTTGTGTTCACATTTGGTGATTTGGACACTTTCACAGTGATTTCTAAAGCGAGGGTTCCGGATCATGGTCTAGGAGTGCTACATTAGCTTACATCTGACTACATTGTTTGCATTGGCGGAGGCAACATTTCAAACAACCCCTGTACTTTTTCATAATATAAATATATAAGTATTTAATTAAAAATATAATTAAAAATATATCTATACAATTCACTCGTAGATTAAAAATAACCGATTATACGATCATTATTTTCATAAACAACCACAAAGAGATTTCCTATTATGAAAGAAATGCAAAAACATTCGTCATCTACACTATTAAATAAGTCTCTTTCAATGTATCTCACTAAAATAGCATCAACAAACTGGTCGCCAATATTGACTTTGAAACTTTTTCTTAATATAACTCACGGCTGAAAATGCTCTTTTTACACTTGCAGTTGTAATTCGTAGAAGAATCAAAACTAGTGGAATTGTCGTTGTCGCTTGACAATTTCAGGGTTGTTGGGGAAAAAATCGAATAGGCATAAGGAGAAAAGATATCCGATTAGGTATTTATTGCAATTGGAATTCGTTTATAGTATAATAAATTACTTTTATGTCAATTTATGAACAAGTAATGAATTGTGTTGTAGAGACAAAATACTCTAATACTACCTATAAGTGTTGTGTTTCATCACCAATATAAATATATATGACATATTTTTGTTCCTTCAAAATTTACCCATGTCCCGGGACAAGGCCCAAAGGCCTGCCTCCGCCTATGATTGTTTGATTATCGATTACTTCGAAGTTCTTCAAGATTAGCTCTATATCCTTTTTGGGTCTTTTTTGTTTCGCTCGTTTCATTTTGCTTTTCAAAACTTTCACAAAACTATTAGTTGTAAAACATACTATTTGTATCCATAGTACGGTCGCATACGAACTACCACATTTGATTATGTGTGTCTAGCATTTATGTTGTCCGACCATACCAACTTATCTTTAGGGGTGTACAACCAAACAACACCAAACCGAGTATAATGCAGACCTTGGTCCTTGGTCCACATGAATTTTACAATTACTAAAGAAATGATGGACCGAACCAAATCAAATGGACCGATTACAATGATGGTCCAGTCCTTGGTTCAAAAATGTCTTTCCCTAATGGATCGCGGTTTTCATGAATTTGGTCCGGTCCGACCCGTTGCCCACCGTATTTTAAAAAAACCCCACTATTTTATCACATTTTAATTCATTTTCTAATTTCTATTGTCCAGGCTGATTTAATCTTGGCATTAGTCGGAGTCTGTATAGATAAAAAAAAAACTCGAGTTCGGGTGGACGGGTGGTTACGATTTGTCGTTTCTTGTCGCTGATAGAGTAACTGTGTATGTACATTGTGTGCTATCTATTGATAATAGGAAAGACCCCAAAATCCCCTATTTCGCAGCTGCATTATCAAAATTCCAATGTGCATTTACTCTGAGTCTGAACGAAAGCCTCCTTTTCCTGTTTCTGTTTCGCTTTCTTCCTTTTAGTAGGCAGCATCACTTCATACAGTTTCCCAGGTTCCGTACTGTGAGCTGAAGCTCCCACCACCTTTCTTTAGTGCATACTCAGTAATGACTTGTCTTGCACAAACATCCCAATTCTGCTCTATGTCCTCCAACGTCAGTGGATGAAGCAGACTTCTCAGGCACCGGTTCAATCTTGACTTTGCTTTTACAGAAAGATCATCCTCGCCACTGTCCCATTTTCGCATTACAACATAAGAGCAGATAATATCAAAGGAAAGCGGAAGGGAGAAGAGGGCTACAGAGACTAACCTGATATCCATTGGCATAGTTTCCAGGAATACAGGAGAGGAATGAGGATAGTTTGCAGGGACAAGCAATTTCAAGGGCTCAATTGGTTGCTGCAACAGGTGAAGGACCATAAAACACCGAAAGAACATTGCTAAATGTGAAGACACGGACTGTTGGTGCAAATACACTATGAGCAAAAGCGTACCATTGGCGAGATGGAGACTGCATTAAACGAGCACTTCATTATGGTCCTTGCATTACCATCTAGAATAATAGCCACCTCAGTCTCGACTAGCCGCTGATTTATCCCTCTTACTTCTTCTTGAAGAGCTGGATTTATCTGTAACATAATATATGTAAGTTCATATTTCAGAATTAGAGGAGTGAAGTTTCTGCTTGGGAGTTGTCCATGTCCCAGGACAGCTAGGACAATCGAACCTCTTTATAAAATATTCGATAAAAAAACCCTGAATCTTCATATTTGAAAGCAGGCATGTACCTCAATCCTAGCAGTTGATATGCTGGTATCAAATGAGGAACTAGAAACTACGTCACCCCAATGATTCATCCTCATCTCCCCAGGGGCAAGGTCACTCAAGCTGACAATGGACCAAATCTCTTCCACGGCAGCACTTAATGCTTCCCGGGATATCAGCTGAACCTGCAAAATTCAAACGAGTTAGGCTTCACCAGGTTCTCCTGCCTTCCATAGAAAAATGAGAAGAGAAATGAAAGTAAGATTGACGTTAAAGAAAATTACATACCAAATTAATCAAGTGTCTGAAGGGTTGTTCTGTCACCTTCCTGCCCGAAACAGTAGCAGCAAAAGCATGATGAGCCACTTTGCCTGACTTCTCTAGCTCTGAATCAAAGGAAGAAGGTGGTTGTGTAGCAGACTTCACATGTTGATTATGCACAACTGCATTCTGGGGAGCTGGCTTCTGGTGTTGAACCTTTGCTGTCCCAGTACTTCTCTCATTCACAGATTTTTGTGGCTTTTCATTAGGAAAAACCGGCTGCTGCTGCCGCTTTGTTTCCTGTTTCGCTTTGACATCCAGCATTCTTTGGCGTTTTTGAACTTTCTTCTCTGGTTTTTTTAGCAGTATTGCTTCCCCTGACTTTTGTAGGCGCCTTGGACGCCCACGCTTGGGAGGAACAGATCCTGAGTGAGAGGTTGTGGTAATACATTGGTCTGGTGTATTCGCGCACATCTGCAGTGAGAAGCCATTATTAACAATTGACCCACAAAAACTACCAGCTGGAGGCTGTACTGATTTTTCATGTCCTGAATCTGGAAAACCCTGTGAGACCTGGAAATGTGGGTGCCGAGCATCTTCTGCTGGAAGCATATTAGAAGAAAAAGATTGCTCTGAATTCAACGACGGAGAAGCTGGCTTTCTTGGGGTTGACTGTTGAAGTACAGAGTAAACCCAATTCTTGACCATTGTCAAATTTTCCATGGATTTATCACTGTTTGGGTGATTTAAGAATTCCAAACAATATGACAGATTTTCCATGGTTTTATGATCAACAGACTTCTGCTGGAAACCCATAAGATAAAAAAGTCAATCAGAAGATTGGGGCTATACGAAGGAGTGAAATTGAAGAAACAAAATTGAGAACTCTATCGAGTAATAGTCTCATCTGTCTGAATACATTTATCGCCATTTGGCACATCCTCGTCACCTCTGCTGTTTCGGCTTGCAACTAACCCAAATCAGGACAACATTCATTTCATCAGACCATGAAAAACAGAGAAATGTAAAGAAAGTTTGACATTCTGAAACAAGTGGGTACCTTAAGAAGCGATTCAAGTTGCCAATTGAAAGCCATGGAGCTCGGCGTGCCTAGAATACAGTCACAATAATCAAGTACTCCTATTACAAATCCGTCACAGAACCAGGAAAGCAGGGGAACATGAACACATGCACTCCTTCTTCAACATAGTCTTGATTTCAGAACTCTATCAACCAGCAAAAACTGTCTGTGGAATTCCAGTCATAAAACAACAATGTAGCCTCATAGCGTAGCTCAAATGAGCTTTCCATTTCCATGAGCATCTAAAAGGCCCAAATCGCCATAATCTAATTGTAATCAAATTGCAACCGGTTTGCCCTAATGTCACGTCCTAATTCAATGGGACTGGAAGAGCTCAACGCTAACGTTTCTGACCCAAATCGCTATAATCTACGTACCATGCGGTTGAAGTGCTGGCTGTGGCGGTGGCGGCGACTGCTACTGCTGCCTCGTACGATTTTGGGTATTATGATTAGTGCTAGTGTTGTACTGCGCATAGAACTGATCGAGCAAGTCGCTGCTCATTTCATCGTGCTTTTCTTCCCGCCTCGCCATTGACGAGAATGAGGACGAAGAATATCGTTCAGCCACTGGTGAACAAAAAGCTGGGAATGGCGGCGGACGGAGAAAGTTTCCAAAGCTAAGCTATTCTACAGGCGGCCACGAGAAGAGAAACTTGGAATCGGACTAATGGGTGTTCCAATTAAGAGAGGGAGACGTGATCGGCGACCTAATTCGTTTTGTTTCGTCCACCGTGTCGCCAGTAGAAAAGAGCGGTGGTCGGAGAACAAGAACGCGCGGGTTCTTGCAAAAATAATCTTTTCTAGTTGATTCCTTGCGAGAGAAGGCGGAGGGGAGAGATGAGACTACGCGCCGCGTCTGTGGCCTGTGGGGATGGAAATGGGGAAATGGGCTCAAGTTGTGCTGTTTAGTTTCGTTTTGGTTGTCTATTGCAGCTAAGATGACAACAAAACCCGAACTCACGAATATTCTATCCGATTCAATTCGGTCAATACAGGTAAAATTTGTATTGACGGGATTTGGGTCGGGTTCGGGTTTAAACTCGTACACTGTTTAATACTTTAATGTACCCGATTCATGAATACTCGATCAATGGACACTCGCCAACACTATTACGTCACCTTACTCTCTCCAAACTCTACCCTAATTCTAATTTCTCCCAATCTAACTCTCACTACACTTATTTCGTGTGCTTTGTTTGAATTTTCTAGATAGGTGTTTTATGTATGGGAAAATTGATGTTTGAATTTTATTTTGATAGGAACTTGTTATTGTAAAATTTTTACCACAAAAACCCATGGGTACCCATAAACCCGCGGATACCCAACGGGTTGAGTTGGGTTTGAGTTTTCCAAACCCAGTGGGGTTTACCCCGTTTTTTTTTTTTGTACAGATAAACCCATGGGTTCGGGTATGGATTTGGAAATACCCGACCCATTGTCATCCCTAATTGCAGCTAGAGCTGCAAATGAGCCAAGCCGCTCGCGAGCAACTCGGCGTTCGAAACAGGAAAAAACTCATTCGACACTCGATTCGTTATTTAACAAGTCCCATCGCGAGCCGACTCGTTAGAAAACCAACTAAGTTTGAGCTAGACCATGCTCAGCTTGATAGACTCGTGAACTAGCTTGACTCGGTGGCTTGTTGAGCTAAACTCACGAACTGACTTGTTTAGAGCTTGTGGAAGGATTAATTACTCTTCTGAACATGAACATTATCTTGTTAATATGGATGTGTATGAAAGTTAGCTGTTATTTTTAGTTTCTAGTGTTCTTTTTATCATTTAAGTTCTTATTTTGTACACATTATTAGGAAGAATGATTTCAAATCGAGCTCATCTTGAGCCGAGCTTGTACTCAGCTTGACAAGCTGTGTTAATGAGCATTTACCGAGCTCTACCGAGTCGAGCTCGAACTGGATTATCTTTAATCGAGTTAAGCTCGAGCTAGATGATCAAAATTCAAGTTCGAGAGGAGCTCGAGCTAAAAAATTTACGAACGAGTCGAACTCAAACTAAGCAAAAACTCGACTCGACTCGTTTGCAGCCCTAATTGCAGCTATCAAAATTAATGAAAACAGGGGCTAAAAAATGTGTTTAGTTGGGTTTTTATTTTTTGTTGTGCAACGGGGGTTGTGACTACTATGCCCAAATCAAGAAAATTAACAATTAGTAGCTTTCGGTCCGATTTATAAAAGTGTTTTACACGGAATTTATCACGGATTTTATTAATTTAGCCCACCTTTCGAGTCCCGTGAGTGACTATTTGTTTTATTTCCCCCCCCCCCCCCAAATCAGCCAATCCTAGCGTACCCTTCCCAAAAAATCAAGCCTCCATATCTTCCTAGGCGCCCTACCTTTCTTCTTCCTCATTCTTCTTCTTCTTCACTCCGCCGAGAAGCTTGCCCCGCCTTCTTCCTACTTCTCCTTCACTTTGCCGATAACATATGAGTAAACACTATTTTATATTAGTTCACTTTCAACTTCTTATTTGTAGGTAAATATTATCTTGTGGCTTTTGCATTTCAAAATATCTCAGGATTTCTAGCACCATATCGAGGAGCTACAACTAATTATCAAAAGATGAGACGTAGAAGTGGACCAAAAGGGCGTCTTGAATTATTCAACTTCGGACATTCAAGTCTGCGCAATGTTCTTGAGCGTTACTTTTGAGTATTGAAGGCAGGATTTCAATTATAAAATTCATGCGGTCGTATAGCTTGAGGAAGCAAACAAGTATTGTTATTGCTTGTTGTGTCTTGCATAATTTCATCAAGATTTATGCTGAAGAAGATGAACTATTTCACAATATGCAAGTTATGAAGATGAAGAAGGTTCATGATCTGGTGTTGACGTACCACTTATCGAGTTTAATAGCTGGACTGCTGTATCGCGTGAAATGAATGAGAATCGGGATGCAATTGCAGATCAGATGTGGAATGATTATCAAAATAAATGATTTTTGGCAAGGAACGAGATTTATGTACAATATTATTACTTTTGATGAGACTATGCTTTATATTGAGAATATTTCCATCATTTTCTAGTTTCGAGATATTATTAGAAGTAACTAAATGTGTTTTCTGTTTTGTTGCTAATTTTCATAATTTGTAAGAAATAAAGAACTAAACAGGTTTTGTTTGCTATTTCAGTGTTGTTGTGGTTTCAGAAGAAATGTACCAACCCTGCTGCAACCACAACAACAACAAAACTATACTAAACGGGCTCTTAGGGTGCACATCCTTGCATAACTAAATCTAAACCTAATTTTTTATTTGGATCCAAAATATTCAGAGAGAAATCTGATTTATCTGCGCAAACAAATTTAAATTCCGACTTCAAATGAGAGAGAAATCGTCTGTTAAATATTAAAGGGGAAAGATTAAAGGCTTTCCTCTTTGATGGTGAGATCTACTCCAAATTACTCTGAAACTACTAAAGAAATAACAAAGCAAGAAACATAATTTGGGTTCCAATCTTCCATGACATTAAACGAATGAGAAAGTACATATTTATAGGCAGTGGCGGAGCCAAAAAATTGGCCAAGGGGGTGTCTTTATCATATCATAAAAAATCACCTATACAGTAAAAAAGTCAAGTTTAAATGAAAAAAAAAGTCAACAACGCAATACTCTAAATTCATACAATTACATTAAAATAGTTTCACGTACATAGGTTACAACGTCAAACAAATAAGTTCAGTACAAACAAGTCAAGACTTCTATTCATCAAGTACTACAAATTAGAACTCAGAAGTACCTTGGAATTGATTTTGTGAAACAAACAAGTGAACTTCAATTGGTACTTCATCACTTTCGGTTTTGTTTAAACAAAAGGCAAGAAATTTCTGAGCTATTGTAGAGCTACAAAAGAAATGAGCGAGTTTAAACAAAAGACAACAATTTATATAAATAAAGACGAAAGTGCATTGCATAAAAAAACTTACTCGGTTGAGATGGTAAGAAATTCTTCTTGCAACTGAATGATCACTGGTTCGAATTTGTGTATACCCCTACTCGGAAAAAAAATTCCAAACCCAAGGGGGGTGCAAGCACCCCCCTCCTCTCCAAGTAGCTCTGCCACTGTTTATAGGCAAATAATCCTTCTCCTTTCCCCCTATGGTTAGGCGCTGTTGGGCCATAGCTGAGCGGTGTTGGGCTCGGAGGCCCACAAGAGGCCCAAGGAGGAAGTCCCGTCGAGGGGCCCTGGAAGCAGGCATGGGGAACGGAGAAAGGAGGGCGGCCACTCTAGGATGGGACAGACAGTAGGACGCCTGACACAAGGAGTCGTTGCTTGGCAGAGGACGAGATCTTCCTAAGATACTCACCTCGAACACCGCAGGACTGAGCATTAATTGCCCGCCGTAGGCGGTCTAGATAAAGCATGGCTGATCTAGGGCGCTTGACAATGGCATTTAATGCCCGAAGCCTAGGCCAACCCACTATAAATACATTCATATCTGCATTGATGGTAACTAAACTACTCTCTCTCTCTCTCTCTAAACTAAAACCAAAAATCTCTTATTCTATCTCTAACTTAAGCATCGGAGGGTGTCCAGGGCGACCGCCCACGGACCCTTGTTTTGCAGGAGCTTGGAGTCCCCCACCATCTGGAACAGGCGCTTCTCTCGTTCTTCACAAAACCGCCTAGAACATTCTAGGCTCAAACAATTCGGCGCCCACCGTGGGGCGAGAGATAGCACTGAAGAAAGGATGGATGGGAGCTCCAACACCCCTGTCAAAGGCGTGGTAGAAAGAAGCAACCCCCGCGCACCAGACGCGCAGATGAGCGGCATCCGAGGGTTAGAAATGCCCATTGTGGAGGAAGAAATGGAGATGGAGGACCGCGTAAAGAGTCAAGGGCAACAAATATCGAGCATGCAGGAGAGCTTGGGCCAAATTTTGGCCATGCTCAAAGAAAAGGACAGCGAGACGCCAGGAAGTTCAGGAAAGCGACCGAGCAAAGGAAAAGGAAAAGAAGACGGTCCCGACAGCCCTGCTCGGACAGAAGGCGGGGAGTCCGATAAAGAAGAAGGAACGGAGGATCTTAGCTTGGGATTTTTGGAAGAACATCTCAGACCCTCGTATGGCAAGGCAAAGGGTCCCACCATCCTCCAAAACCCTCTGGCTAAGAGCCTGTTCAAAACCCAAGTTCCCCCAAACTTCTCATCACTCGGGCTGCCCGCTTATAATGGAAGCTCAGACCCTGCCGACCATTTGAGCGCTTTTATGTTGAAGATGCAACTCATCAATGCCACGGACGCTGATCTGTGCAAAGTGTTCCCTGTCACATTCGGCAGTCAGTGTCGAACTTGGTACACCTCCCTGCCAGAAGGGATAATTGAAAACTTTGAGCAGTTCGCGACTCTCTTCTCCTCGAAGTTCGCATCCCAGAGGAGGAGGAAGCTGACGGTATCATCACTGATCAATTGTAAGCAAGGGGGGGAGGAGTCGCTGACAGATTTTTACGATAGGTGGAACACTATAGCCTGCGAAGTGCATGGGATCTCACCAAGTGTGGCATCAGGGAACCTACGTATGTCTACGCATAGTAGTGAGCTGCAAAGAGCGCTTATAAAAAAGGAACACACCCTGAAGGAGTGGCCCGACCTGGACCGCTTAGTAAGAAAGGCGATCCTACTTGAGGAAGCCATGGTAGTTGAGGACGCTACCAAGCGTGCCAACCCAAGGGAGAGGTCAGACAAGAAGAAGGGAGGATCGCCAAAAAGAAGAGGACGCTCACCAGAGCGGCGGAGTTATAAGTCGCGGTTCACACACTGAGACAACAGGAGGGAGGTTTTCACCACCAGCTAGGAGGAAAGAAGGGACCGAAGAGGTGACAGCGGTGCGCATCAGACGCATAGGAGGGAAGAGGATCGAAAGTGGTGTGACTGGCACCAAATGCCCACCCATGACACCACGGAGTGTCGGGAATTCAAGGCCAGTTTAAAATACCTGGCGCCTGGAGATCTCAGGAGTCGCCTAGACACTAGACTGCACCGTCAAGAACAAAGGCACCATAAAGAGAGGTCGCCAAGCCCAAGGAAGAGATCGCGCACGCCCAAGCGTAGGAGATCGAGATCGCAAAGAAGAGAGCGGTCCCCCAGGCGGGACCCTCCACCGCTGCCGCCGAGAAGATCACCTCCTCACCGGCAACCGCGTGCCAACGAAGATGACGTGGAGGTCATAACCATCGCGGGTGGACGCAAAAGGCCCAGGAACGAAGGGGAGCGCCTAGTACAATGTCTAAACGTCCATAGAAGCGAGCAAGTGGACATCAGCTTCACGCCTTCTGAACTGGCCTCGGAGGAAAGCGCTGAGGATCCGCTGGTCATTTCCTTGAGAACGAGGAAGTTCAAAGTCACCAGGGCCTTGGTTGACAATGGCAGTTCAGCGGATATTCTATTCTACTCGACCCTCAAAAGTATGAAGATGAGCGTCCAGGATCTCAAACCCTCTGCTACGAGCCTAGTAGGATTCTCAGGGTCGAAGATCAGAGTACTACGCATAGTCACACTACAGGTAACAATTGGGGAAGCAGATATAACAAAGACACATTCGATGGACTTTCATGTGGCAGACTGTCCGTCGGCGTATAACGCAATCTTGGGACGCGGTTTCCTATCGTTATTTTCTGCGGTTCCATCCACTAGCCCCCAGATGCTCAAGTTCCCAGTAGGCGGAAGAGTAGGGCGAGTTAGAGGAAATGCTGAACAAGCAAAGGAGTACTACCAGGCGACCATAGAAAGCTTGGAGGTGGACATGGTAGACACACGAGGGGGGCACCCCCCGCCCAGAGGCTGTAGAAGGGGACGTGGAGGTGACACTTGACAGCGAGGCGCCAGAGAAGAAAGTGAGAATCTCTTCTCACCTCACAGAGGAGAAAGCCAGAGAACTCTTAGCACTCCTCAAAGAGTACAAAGACCTATTTGCATGGACCTCCGAGGACATGCCGGGCGTCTCAAGAGATTTGGCGGAACATCATCTGTCGGTGAAAAGCAAGGCAAAGCCCGTTCAACAGCGAAGAAGGAACGCGTCCCTGGAGAAGCAAATGGCACTCGAGGAGGAAGTAAGACGGTTGCTCAAAGCCGGTTTCATAAGGGAGGTCAAGTACCCAACTTGGCTCTCAAACCCAGTCTTCGTTTGCAAGGCCTCGGGACTTTGGCGAATGTGTATTGATTTCACAAATCTAAACGCGGCCTGCCCGAAGGACGCCTATCCTCTGCCAAGAATCGACCAACTCATAGACGCAACCGCCAATCATGAGAGTCTGAGTTTCCTGGACATGTTCTCAGGTTATCACCAGATCCGCCTATCCGAGGAGGATCAGTAGAAGACCGCATTCATGACCCACATGGGAAACTTCTGTTACACAGTCATGCCTTTCGGTCTAAAGAACGCGGGAGCGACATATCAAAGAATGATAGATGCGGTCTTCAAGAGCCAGCTGGGGAGAAATGTGGAAGCATACGTGAATGATGTCTTGGTTAAGAGCAAAAAGGAGGGAGACCACTTGAAGGACTTAAGACAGACGTTCGAGAGCTTGAGGAAGGAGCGCCTGCGCCTAAACCCGCTCAAGTGCGTGTTTGGCGCCAAGGCGGGAAAGTTCCTTGGATTCATGATCACTGGGAGAGGGATAGAAGCAAACCCAAAACAGATAGAAGCTATCACAAA